TCGCGGGGCCGGCCGGGGCTCGGGGCTGCTGTGCCCGGCTCGGGCGAGGTCGCGGGGCGCTCCCGGGTTTGTCGTGCCCGGTTCGGGCGGTGCTCGGGGCGCTCCCGGGTTTGTCGTGCCCGGTTCGGGCCGCGCTCGGGGCGCTCCCGGGTTTGTCGTGCCCGGTTCGGGCGGTGTCGCAGGGTTATCGTGCCCGGTTCGGGCGGTGCTCGGGGCGCTCCCGGGTTTGTCGTGCCCGGTTCGGGCGGTGTTCGGGGCGCTCCCGGGTTTGTCGTGCCCGGTTCGGGCGGTGTCGCAGGGTTATCGTGCCCGGTTCGGGCCGTGCTCGGGGCGCTCCCGGGGCCGTGCCCGTGCCGGGGCTGCAGAGCCGAGGCGCGGCCGCCAGGGGGAGCCGGTGCTCGCGCGGCGGGCGGGCGCACCTGGCGCGCGCGGGGCCGTGGGTCCCGGCCCGCCCCGCGCACACGGACCGGGACCGGAGACACGGACCGGAGACACCGACCGGGCACACGGACCGGGATCGGATACGGACCGCACACACGAGCCGGGACCGGGAGCGCCCCGCTGCCGCGCTGTCGGCTCCGCTCTCGCAGTGCTGTGCGGCGGGGGCCGCCCGCAGCCCGCCGGCATGGAGCCGTAGAGGGGAGCTGCTGTGGAGGTGAGTCCTGCGCGCGGCGCTTCCTCGGGCAGTTCCCTTTCCTATTAAAAGAGAAAAAAAATTCCCACGGAAAAAGAAAAGTTCGTCCCTTCCCGTGGCGCCGTGCGCGGGACGGGGCTGAGCCGCGGCTGTTGCCCCGGGTCCGTCCCGCAGCCCCGGGTCCGTCCCGCAGGGACCCCGCGCTCCGGGTCTCGGAGCGATGCTCGGGGCCGGATCCGTCCGTGGCGCCGCGGCCGCTCCGCCGCTCCCTGGCTCGAGCCCGGCTGCTATTGGAGGCGCCGCGAATGTTTTCTGTCACGAAGGGAAGGTCTCGGTTGGTACCGAGGGTTTTTCAGCCTCGCGGACGCTGGTGGGGCTTCCCGGGAAAAGTGTTACTGCCGGAGATTTAAAATAAAACCAGCAGAGCTGGTGCCTTTTGGGATGTTGCAGCGCGATGTTGAAGTGGTGCCGGTGCTTTGGAGGCTTGGCTTCTCTGAGTTACCGTGCTGGGTGTTGATCTGTGGGACTTGAAACCTCTGTTTGCCTCTGAAAGTTCCGTAACAATAAAGCTGCTCTGGTTTCCTTTGGAGTCTGATGGAAATCTGCTGAAGGGCACCAAACATCTCTGAACTGGCTTCGATTCAGCGGCCGTTTTCAGAGAGCCTGTCCCCGGGCTGCTGTCTCTGCTAGGATTCAAAGACTCGAAAGTTTCTGGTGGAAAATGCTGTAAGCTGCGGATTCTCAAAGTTGTAGTAAGGTCTGCGTACTTTTGGCAATTTCTGCTCCTATTGGGTTAACACCCAAACTTGGGTTCGTACCGCGAGGGAGAGCCCATTGTGGCAGGAGCCAGCATTTTGCAGTGCTCCTCGGCGGTGTTTATGCTCTCTTGTTTTTATCCTGAATATTTAAAAAACAGTAACAAATTTTTAGCATTTGTGTAAGGCTTGTGGATGCTACAACA